ACAGTCGCAGTACAGCTTAACACTCACTTACAAATCTGAACATGTGTAGAAGTGACTAACCTTGAGCTGGGCCCTAAACTGGCCAGAACAAACTGACCATCAGCAGAACCAAAGGAAATGGGGTGGGGTATAGGATGATAGCTACTTGGGCTGCATTTGGAAGTGATAGGAGTCCATCAACAGGAATTCCAAGAATTCAGTTACTTGAAGAAGCATCTCAATACTTTATGTCTAACCCATAAAACTACTGAATCTCATGGTGCCCTCATTCCTAATTTTTTTCTTTCTACCTCTGCTTCCCATAAGAGGCCCTGCTTGCTTCAAGCCAAGAGGCAACTTTGAGGTTTTCCTCTGACTTTCTTGTGAGTCAATCTTGCAATAAAGTCAGTGTCATAGTATTGGTTTATGTTCACTGGACAGCAAATCCATTGCTGGGTAACAAAGAAGCTCAACCTTATAATTTTGCATGTGGCTATCCTAATATCCCAGTGTCAACTGTTGAAAAGACTTTTCCTATATCAAAGTTTGTCAAGAAATAATGAATCACAGATGTATGTCTTTACTGCAGGACTCCCTATTCTATTCCACTGATCTATGTACTTATTCTTAGACCAGTACTATATTATTTTTCATTTTTACTGTGGTAAGAAACACATTACAGTTACCATCTTAACCATTCTTAAGTGTACGGCTCAGTTGTGTTCAAGTATATTCAAAGCATTGTGTAAAAGATCTCTAGAACTTTTCATTTTGTAAAACTGAAATTCTATACCTGTTAAACAACTACTTCTTATTTCCCATTGCCCCCAGTATCCCTGACAATCACCATTCTACTTTCTTTGACTATGATTTTGAGTACTTTATGTATCTCACATATGTGGAATCATAGTTTTTGTCTTTTGGTGACAGGCTTATTTTTAGCATAATATCCTCAAGGTTCATCCTGTTGCAGCACTGTCAGAATTGCCATCTGTTTTAAGGGCTAGTAATATTCCACACTACTTTAATTACTGTAGATTTGCAGTAAATTTTGAAATTGGGAAGTTGAGTCCTCCAAGTTTATTCATTTGTAAGACTACCTGGCTCCAGGGATGGTTTTACTCTAAACTCTTCAAAGGAGAAGATGAGGAGCTCAGTTCTTCAACTGAGTGGAAGGTAAGTCAGGGCAGGAGAGCACCTTTGTCTTGGTCTTGTTCCTGGACACTATCAATGGAGGCTAGAATCCCCATGAGAAAAGTTGACTCAACAACTTGTGGTCTTTCCTGTGTGCTGTCCACAGGGGCTCAAGGAATTTGGTATTAATGAGCACAAACTAGTATTGTGCAGGGCTCAAAATCCTGGTGAAGACCATGATCTCAGAGATTATAAGTGATTTAGGAGCTTGACATAGGGTTCTTATGGCCACTGGCATAAGTGATCTTCCCTAACCCAGATGCAGAGAGTATTAGGGAACCTGTTTGCTCAGGTGCCTCTGGCTCTCAGTGGGATCAGTAAAGGCCTACGTTGGAGGTCTTAGGGGCCAGCTTGTCTGTAGCAAAGCCAACCATGGGCAATAGGGTGGGCTTAGATAGGTGTTAAGGGTCGTTCAGGGTAGAATAAACCTCAGAAGGACTGGTAGAGGGACTAGGAGCCATGGGAGACACTACCACCAAGATGTGGCCCTCAATCCTGGTTAGAGACTTGATTGAAGGTGAAGAGGGGAGACGAGGATTGTTGACTAAGGGCTGGTACATAAAGCTACAGACACCCCACACCTCAACTTGTTGCCACAATAATCCTTTGAGAGCATCATAAGAAAAGAGCCTGGAGCTCGAAGAGTTCCCATGCAAAGCCAGGATCTGAACCCAGGTTAGGCACACATTTCCTCTGCTTTTGCCCATATTCCTGCTGCCAGTAGCTACTAAGCAAGTAGCAACCTGTGACCTGATGGTAGTTCCTTCACAGAGACCTGAAGGGCTCTAAATAGAGCAGAGCTTCAACTGAAGACACTTCTGAAAAGTCCCAAGAGATCTAGAACTAAACAGTCTCTAGGGCCTCACTGGAGACTGATGTTCTGGCCAGCCATTGGGTCAGCTATGAGGCAGCAAAAGAAAACATCACCAGGGCCCTCCCTGGTGACACAATGGGTTAAGGTGCAGCACCATGAGTCTCCCCACAGCCACCTCAGCTGAGTTTAATCCCCTACCAGAGAGGTGGTCCACATGGTCAAACCTCTCCTGACCCGCCCGCTGCTCCCCTCAGCAGTGTACTTCGTCAATCTGCCTGTTCTGCTCCCCACTCTGTCTCTGGTGAATCCTCTCACTGCTCCTGCACCTGAGGACTATACCCCAGTTCTGTATGCATAAATAAATAAATCTTAAAAAAAAAAAAAGAAAATATCTGCACTAGGCCTACAGACAGATTTTATGAAGAAATGTGCTACTTTTAAATAAACACGGCAAGAAGTGTTTGTTACCAAACAGTTGTGTTTGGAAATCAGTGGATGTCTGTCAGTTAACAGTTCCACATTAGTCATCGAGAGCACTATCCCCGATCTTTGGAAAGCTGACACCCAGAGCCCAGGTTCTGCCCAGTTCTAAGACAGCAGCACATCTCACACAGGGTCAGCCTTAAATCAGGTCCTTAAATCAAGGAGAAAGGTTTTAACAATCTTCCATTCAAATTGGTGCTCAGCAAAGTGATAGTCAATGGTGTGCATGAATACAGCTGGGAAGAAATACATACACAAAACAGATTTTGTTTTAGGATAGCAGACCTGTGGGCATCCCCTCTTCAGTTTTTCTTTAATTTTGACATACTGTTTTCCACTTTATAAAACTCACCCAGCCCAGAGAGAGAAGGCTGTGAACAGCAGCCTCTGCCTGTCACTGTGTGGGGCCCTTTATGTGTATCAGATTAAAAGTCATTGAACGAGGAAGTAGAGGCTGGATGCTAGGGGCTCCATGAGGCCTATATTGTAGTTCAGCTCTCCTTCCACTCAAACTTGCATCTTCTCCCTCCTCTTCCAGAGGCTGATAACTTAATAGGAATCTTGCACCCCAAATTCTGTCTCAGCATCTGCTTTTGGAGAAGACTACCTGCATCAGTGTAGAGGTTTGGAACCAGCACATGAGGCCTGGTGCCCTGGTCAGAGCTGACACAGTTGGCAGGGTGGCATAGCTGCTTTGGGGAACATATTAAACCCAACCAGATGGTGGTTGTTAGTGCCTCTTCCACTTGAAACAAGATAGCATGTCTGCGCTGGGCTGATCACCCCAGAAGAAGGAAGATGAAAGTTCCCAGCTCAGCAATGGAGCATGGCAGGGTGTGTGTGTGTGTGTGTGTGTGTGTGTGTGTGTGTGTGTGTGTGTGTGACGCGCACACGCGCGTGTGTGTCGGGGGGGAGGGGTAAGGTAAGCAGGGGGGAATCAATCATAGGGTGCCTACAGACTGTCACAAAGGGAGGGGAATTTTATTAAAACCCAAGTCTATTTGAGTTCAGAGGACTAGAACAATAGAGGTAAGGTCAGGCAGTGAGGGTTGGGGTTGGGAGAAGCACTAGCCACAACAGTGGACATGAGCAGCCAGGAAAGCCAGACGCCCTGAAGCACGGGCCCTGTACAAGATGCCCTCCCCACCCAAACCTGCTCCCACCCAAGCTCCACCTGCTATGCTCTGAGAAAACCAACCAAGTTATGTGAGAGTGCCAAACAGGGACTGTGCAACAGGGCACATACCTACACCTTATCCCCAAGCAGAATTCCGTCAAATAAGTTCCTGGCAGTGCCAAACGAGGGCCTGACTCTCTGGGCAATTGCCCTTCCCGGTTTTTCAAACATCCTACAGAGAAGCCATCAAAAAGTTCAAAGGGGTCTCTGGGAGGATTTTGCATTCAGACATTACTGAGTAGAGGACCTAGACGAATGCAGAGTCGATGTCGAGACTTGAAAAAGTAAGCCTGTGTGCCCCTGCTTCCTGGTCCGTAACATTTCTCATCTACACCTTGGTGACTTGTCCAGGGGCCCATGGGCCCAAGCTCTCTGTCTGCTCTAGCCTTCCACTCTTCTACCCATGGCCATCCTGGGGTCTGAGCAAAATTGGCACCTACTTGGAACCACAGAGGCACCTCCATCCCTGTGTGAGCTCCATTATCTTCTCTGTAGTATTTACTGCAATGGGACTTGCAGTATTTGCTTATTTGCATGATTTTTAATCTGTGTGCCTCTCCACTGTAGCTCCAGGGAGGCAGGCACCATAAGTAAGCACTTTTCCCCTAAAGTCTCCGGGGTGAGTGAGGAAGGAAAGAATGCAACACATGCCACATTCCCTCCACAGACGCTAACGCTAAATGTCAACAGAGTAGATCTAGCTGGGAAGCCCCTGGGAGCCCTTAAACCTGGGGCACAGCTGTTAAGAAAGGCTACAACATTTGCTTTCTAAAAAAGAGCTGTAGGAGGCCTCCAGCACCCAGCCCCCACGTAGCAGAGGCTGTGAAGATGGTTTTGGCAGCAGTTCTGGAGAGGCAGGGTGATGGCAAGATTTAGCCAGAAGGGATGGTGCCTGTGGCAAACAGAATGGGGAGCTCTGGGGGATCTGGAAGATGTGTGCTCTGGGCGATGGTGAGGATGAGAGGTGAATGACAGGAGTCAGGGAGCCCAACAGCAAAGAGCACGTCACTGAGCGGTCCTCACCGGGGAGAGCTGATGGAATGGTCAACCTCATCCTTCACCGACAGCTAGTACCGTAGTCTGTGGTGCTATTGCAGGCACAGCTACACATCCACTTCTACCTCAACTCCGTGCTGGAACCTGCAGCCCTTGCTACTTCTCACCTGGAGAGCCGACCACTTCTGGACTGTACATCCCTTCTACATTTCTCTCCTCCTATCCCTCCCATGCACTGCTGTCCACCACTTTTAACCACTCTAATCTGTCTTTTTCTCCCTAGCACCTCAAAGACATGTGCAGCTTCCGGGAAGATCAAACCCCTCTTCCAGGCCACATGGCCCACAGTTCACTCACCCGATGAGTCTTGCTATAGGTGTAGAGGAAAGCCAGTCGGTAGAGGCTCTTGTAGTGCTGGGGAAAGCGGCTGAGGCACAGGCGGAAGGAGGCAATGCACTGCTCAGTGAGGAACTGGCGCTGTTCCTCCGCACCAGCTGGCAGTCCCTGGGGGAAGATGGCTGGCTCTCCTGTGGGGTCCCCTCTCTTCTTCCCATCCCACAGGGCAAGTGCAGATGCTGGGAGCTTGACAGGGACACAAGCAGAGACTGGGGGATCGGCGGCAGGCTTCTGGCTGCCTTGCTCTGAGGCCCGGATGCTGTCCATGCTCTCCAAGGACTCTTCGGTTTTTCCTACAGTTCAGAAGGAAAAGAAAGTCACATTTTAAAGCTGTCCCTTCAGTAATCCACCGTCAGTAAAGCATCTTGGTGAGATGACTGGCACAGCTGTGTCATCTTTGCTGGATGGGTGCTGGACTCAGCTGACACAGAATAGGTGGGTGCAGCCCAGTGCTGAGTGTGCCCCTGCTCACTGAGGCCTCCATGGCCTCCCCAGTCTCTTCCTGTGAAACAGGACATCCCAGCTGGCACTGAACAGAAGGGGCCCCAAGACTGCACAGAATGGGGTTACAAGCTGGGTTCTAAATCTCCCTCTGTATGATGGCACAGGGCTTGTGTAGATGCACAGGGAAGCAGGTGTGGCCACCACCACGAAGGAATAGAACAACCTGAAGAGTGTGACTAGAGGACTGCAGCTGCTCCATCACTCAGCACTTCACCTTACAGCTCAGCTGGCATCCTTCCCAAGGACTGTTGCTACTGCATGTGAAGCAAAAGCTTGCACATGGGCCCCCACTCTCACATGAGTTCAGCACAGGTCTGTCTGCCCCACCAGGGTATACAGCTCAGGAGAGCTTAGGCTGGGAGGCAGAAGGTTGTCTAGCCTAGGAAGGAGGGGGTGGAAGGATAGAAGAGGGAAAGTGGCAAAGGCAGGGTGACCCTTTGGGCATCTAGGACTACGACACAGCCTGGCTGGGGGAGGTCAGAGAAGCAGCCTGGCACCAATTCTGAAGCCTGTATGCCACTGTGGCCTGACTTCTTTACTGCCCTTTCCTGCTGCAGCACCAAGCAGAAGGCGGGGCTGCTTGGGCAGAGCACAGTGGGAAAGGCCCTAAATTTCCTTCATGCCAAGGCCAAGCAAAACCATGTAGCTATCAGGTGCACATCATGCTTGCCCACCATCAGGCTTCTTGCTAAGCAAAGAATCTGAGCATCACTGAGTGTCTAATTTGACTGCCAAAACAAAGCCCAGCCTGCCACCAGTCCTGTCATCCCTTCCAGCTTCCCTCCTGGCCTCACACCCTGCGACCAGTCACTGGGAACATCTCGCTTGTGTCTGCCTCTGCTACGCCTTTTCTTGACATGCTCCCTGCCTTCCTCCTCTCCCTGCCTCTCCCACTCAGTGTCAGCTCCTCTTTCAGACTTTCCTGCCCCAGGGTGGTATTTACAGAGCACTTCATGTGCCCGCCTGTCTGATGGTGCTGATCTGGATGCTTTTATGCACATGAGTGTCTCCCCCTGCCCTGCCCAAAGTTTAGAGCAGGCCTGACCCCTTCTACCCTCTGAAGATGAGTAACAAATGACAGGTCATATTTGATCGCAACACGGTGCTCTCCTCTCAGGGGAGCTCAGCAAACCATTTAGGTCCCCCCCCGCCACACACACACTCACAGCAACTGGATGCCATCCTTACAAGGGCTCTTACAGGTAATGCCACTGCCTTTCTCAAAGATGTGCCAGGTTTCTAGTGTGTTCAATTCAAAGGACACATTTCAAATGTGGTTCTGAACACACACAGTGCAAGCAATGGATGGACCCAGTCCCAAGCTGAGGAAGTCAGAGGAAGACACAGGCTTCCCAGGGATTCAAAAAAGGCACTAAGTGCTCAGACACAAAGATATATAGGTACCTTTACCTTGCAGAAAGTAATAAGAAGAGTTCAGAAAGCCAATATAAATACACATAAACAGAAAAGAAAAGAAAGAAACTAGCAAGACTACAGTGAATTAAAAACATAGTTGCTCAGAGGGCTGGGTGACCTAAAGAGACCCAGAAGAGATGGGTGACATGCTGCATCCTCAGGCTCTGTTGGCACTGCTGAACAGACCTCCCAGGTTACATGAATGGGAGGGAAAAGGGTCAGAAATGCCAACAAGCCTGCTCAACACTTCCTAGCTACAATGTTCAATTCTAACCCTGTCACCTAAGTGCCAGTGTGAAGATGGGAAGGCTTCCCCCAATGACAGAAAGCAATTAAAGCACATGTTCTCACCACTCAGGCCTTGCTGGCACTGAGATTAACATGGAATGATCACTGTGCATACATCAGGTAAGGAGAGCCCAGAAACTGTCTCATCTGCCTCACCCCCCCACACGAGCCACTCCAGCCCTGCTGCAGGTTACTGGACAAGGTACCATCCTCATTCCATACCCACCCTATGGCTCAGTTGGCAGGGACCCAGGGATCAGTGTCTACTGCCTGGACCACACAGCTTGTTGTCAACTCTGCTGCTCCCACAGAGATAAAAGAGCTTGTGGGGCCCTCCCTGGTGGCACAACGAGTTAAAGCACAGCACTATGAAGTTACCGTAGCTACTGCAGCACGAGTTCAATTCCCAGACAGGGAGGTGACCCACATAGTGCAGCAGACCTCTTCTAACCCGCCCGCTGCTCCCCTCAGCAGTGTATTTCAGTACATCTGCCTGTTCTGTTCCCCACTCTGACTCTGATGAAACCTTTTCACCCCTGCACCTCTGGCCTGTAGCCCAGTTCTATATGCATAAATAAATAAATCTTAAAAAAAAAAAAGGCAGATTTGTGTTTAGCTGGTGAAACGATGGATGGCTTTTCTATTAAAATTATAAACCTATTATTGCTAGTCACATGTTAGACTTTTATTCTAAAGTTGTAGCCTTCAGAGGTGAAAAGGTGAGCTTCAGTGAACTGCAACCACTGCAACCGATGGGGAAACCGCTTTCCTCAAGGCACTTGGGCACAGAGCAGGGTGGGCAATTAAAGGGTGATATGTCCTGGGGAAGTGGGACAGCTCTCACCCGTTGGGCACCTTGGGAGTAGTGCATGTCAGGGTTGGGCAGGGCACAGATGTCAGATTTGTCATACTTCCCCTGGCAGCCAATAACTGGCATAGGCCTGGCCTGCATTATGCCCTGCTCTTCTACTTGACAACAGACGACACGAAGTAGGGCTGTGGGGACCTGTGTCCTCTAACACTGACAGTGAAAGCAGCTGTGGACTAGGGGCAGGATTACCCATGAGGGTATGCCTGGAGTTAAGGGGTGGGTATACCTGGGGCATAAGCCCATTGCTGGCCCAGTACCACATCCTGGCTCACTGCAGGGGAACCAAAACTGCTGGAGACCTGGAACCCTAATGGCCAGGGCTCTCTTTCCTCAGGAGCCAGTGGGAGTACAGGTCAGTCACAGCCACTGACTGGGGTCAGGCACTGTCAAAATGTACTTCTTGTTGCCCTACTCTCCTGACAGGATCTTCACCGAAGTTACCAGGAAAAGCCAGGCTAAAATGGGAGGGACATATCCATGAAAGCAAAATGCTTCGTTTCATGCCTACCAACAATGGCAGTGACTGTGGTTTAACCCTTACTTTTACCAATGGCTGGCCCGCACTTGATCTGCTTAAATCATCAGCTCTGGCTAGAAGAAGGGAGGAGGGCTGGCAAGCTCCACATGGGCTGGATCAGACCAGAGCCAACTCTTTCTCAGTCTACCATACACTTCCCTTCACCTCTACTTCTCCCAGCATGCTGAGAGTCTGTAATGACACAAAACACTCAGAGCAGTTCACTGACAGGGCAAAGACAACAGGCCTCATTTGTCTAACAGTAAAAATAACCTTATCTCTGGGACTGTACACGAACTACAATTGCTGTAGTAGAGTGTTGGGCAGATACGTTACTTTTTCCTTACCGTTTCAAACTCTCTAAATGTATTTATTTCAATTGTAGAATGTCAACATTGGTTTGGAATAGCATAGTCACTGCATAGTGAGAAAACAAAGAGTCCTATTCTCATTTCTTGAATGGGTCCAAGGGCAGGTAAATCCCTTCACTTCCTTAACTGAATCTAATGGGGGTACCGTTTTTAACGTACAGGAAATGTGGCCTCATCTCTTAAAGCCATCCAAGAAAACTGGGAAAGGTCTTCCCTAGTTCAAGTGGAGTAGGGAAGTTCTGCCCCCATTGTCATGTCCACATGTCATGCCTATGTGTGAACTCTGCCCCCAATGGCATGCCTATATTTAAGCTATAGAAGCTCAAATCTTTCACTCAGGGTATGTGTAGCAACTTCCTAGGGCCAAGACAACAGATGCTCAACAACCCCACCTGCCCCACTAAGCCCATTCAGAGAGTCATATAGGGTAGTGGTTAAAGTTGCAGACTGATTTTCTGAGACAGGCCTAAGGCAAATTCCTGTTTCTCCCTGGATCTTAGGGTCTTCACCTGTGAAGAGGAAAAATTTTTAATACTTTTATCCCTGGCGGGTTGGAAGGAACAAATGAATTAAAACAGTGCCTGGCATAAGCCTGGGTTGCTGTTGTTATGCCCTGGTCAGAGTGAGCAAGCTTTCAAAACCCACAGCTGGTAAGCCAACTATGGCCTCAGAGCAGTGCCAAGGATACCTAATCTATTTCAATGTATCACCAAGTCCAGGTTGCAGCTCTGTTGACTTCTACAAGGGAGAGAGGGGGGCATGAGAGCTGAAAAAACTCTGGGTTACATCAGAGTAATCTCCCTGACCAGATTTTAAAAAAAGATGTTTTTCCTGGATACCTAATGACTCAAGTCTTAAAAAAAACACATACATACATTGGGACTTTAGGATCCTAAGACTTTTAAAAAATAACTATTTATCAAGAAAAAGAAATAGCAGATTTAACGCTATCCCAATAAAAATCTCAATGACATTCTTCAAAGAAATAGAACAAATATTGATGAGATTCATATAGAACCACAAAAGACCTCGAATAGCCAAAACTTTCATGACTAAAAAGAAAGAGAATGGAGGCATCACAATCCCAAATTTCAAGCTATACTACCAAGCCATAATAATCAAAACTGCATAGTACTGGAACAAGAACAGACACACAGACCAGTGGATTCAAACAGAAAACACAGATATAAACCCACAGGTTTAGGGCCTAATCTTTGATAAAGGAGCAAAGAAGATACAATGGAACAAAGAAATTTTGTTCA